TATTATCATTAAATAATAACACAGAAAAATTAAAACCTGAGCCATTAAGAGACTTATTAAATCAAAGGAAAACAGGTGGCTATAGTATAAAAAGGGAGGTCTGGTGGCCAAGTGGGTAGGTCCTGCACTACAAACACACTTCAAATTCTCCAGCTGCTCTGGAGGAGAAATATGGGGAATCCCATGTGATTTACTGCCTCTGAAAATTGGCTCAAGGGTCAGTTATGATTTGGTTCTGGAGCCGATGTCACATGACAACAACAATGTACAAAAAGGTAATAAAAGACCCACATTGAATGGCACTTACTAGTCATAAAATAGAAGCACAAAAAATTGATGTTGTTAAAATGGTGAATTCAATCTATTGGGAACGTGGAAGGACAGGATGGAAACTAAAAGATGCTTAAAGATAAAAAGCTACAAGCGAGTTTATCCATCACAACTCTACTTTGGAAAACTAAAAAACCTAGATGGAGAGGTACAATCACACAATTTGTGACACTTGTATATTGTGTTAACAAACAAACGTCTGAGCAGGGTAGCAAACTCTTTTTTCTTAATAAACTGCAAGATGATGTCCATTCTGAGGGTTCATAGAAGGTTCACTGAGTGCACATATTCAGAGAACAGAAATAAATCCCAAAATTACAAACAGAAAGAGCTGAAAGTGTTTGTGCAAGACAAAAAAAAAATATAGAGTGATAGTAGAGCAAGTGTTTGTTATAATAAAGCTGGTAGAATTGTCTGACTCTTTATGAAATGTATCTTTTCTCTGAAAGCTTGTTTGCCTCTTTTCTCTTTCTCTGAAAAGCAAATATGTTAGAATGTGTACACACATAAACACACATCACCTGATCTGCGCACCAGTACCACAGTCCATTGATGGTTATTCCAAAAATCATGCCTGGCCACGGAATATCTCCAGTGACGGCGTCTCGGAAAATGTGGAAAGAGTCGGCCTGCGGAGTGTAGCACTCGGAGCTGATGGTCAGATTGTCGCCTTGGACGACGGAGGGAATGGCGTTCATGTACTTCTCAATGAAACTCTCGTAGCCACCAACTTCAGCAAATGCTGAAAAGGCATGAGAGGAAGTTAAATTCTTACAGAAACCTGGTATTCATGAGTATTCATTCTGATGTAAACACCCTAGCATGTCAGCCCGATTCAATCCTCTGCTCGGTTCTCCAGGATCTAAGTCCTCTCTGTCATGCTACTAAATTTATCTCCACAAAGTTCATAGAGCTTATCTCTCTTTAAATTTTTCTCTTGATGGTGCTCTTTCGATTTTAGCCTTATTGTAAAAATGCAACTACGATAGAAAAGACCCTCTGTCAGGTCTCACGACCGTCCAGGGAAGAAGCAAACACAATGGTGAGCTAACAGGATTCACCATCAGAAAGTCACAATCTCTCTGACAGGTCCGGGATATTATAACCTCTCCTTCTTGTGCAGAGTGGGGCCTTTAAGATCTTACCATCAGCTTGTTTGCAGGTAAAACATTTTGTTTCCATGTATGTTACAATTTTAAAAAATCATAATAATGAGGTAGATTAGCAGAAAAAACAGGGAAGCCAGTTAGATGCAGGTGGAAAATTATGAGAACAAGGCCTCTATGGGTCTGGAAAAGTTCCTCAGAAGTGAGAAATGTGCTGGATGGAAATGTAGAAATCCCAATCCTGGTTCCTGGGAACACTTGATAGAGGTTCGTGTGATGTCAAATTTACAAAAATTACATACACAGTCATGTGTGGCTTACCATATAAAATAAGTTCTGTGAAATAACATTATGTAATATGGACATTGTGTCAAACCTTGCTACAGGTAATGCTGGATTCTAAACAAGTTCTAATTATGTCTTTAAGTTGAATTTGAACATAGGTCCAAGTGCTTATACATGGTTTGTAGCTAATGTCATTTAGTCAACTGTCTGTCTCAGCACATAGTATTGAGTGTGACTTGCTACACATAAAAAGTTTAAACACTTCCAGATCCCCTAAAGCATCTTTTACATAGTAATAGTAATAATGATTTCATATATACTACAAAGTGTCACCCATTTGTTATTATGAATCATTCTTTATATCTCAAAATTTAAACATAATCTTTTCATAAGGCCTAGGACCACATTACATGGTGCAACACTATAATCATAGTTTTGAGGCTGACATTAATTTAGTTTTTCACTAGTTATTTTATTGAACACCTCCTATGTGCAAAACATCGTGCTTAGAAGTAGGCATGGGATTGCGTGCAAAGCAAGTATACAAGTCAAGAACTTAGCCTAGTCATTAGAGGAAGAAGACAAGTAACCTTAGTGTAGGGAAACATATCTGATAAAGAAAATACTCTTTCTAAAGAAATACATGGGAGGTTCTAGATGATGAGGAATCTCGCTTCTTCATAAAAAGACTTAGAGAAAGGAGGTTTAAACCTATTATACAATCACCATAAATTTAATTAGTAGAGTTTAAAACCAAAGACAAGCCTAGAAGTTCTCACTAGGTAATTAGAAAGATATACAAGGAGGTGGCACTAGCAGTTGCCTCCACAACATCATTGCGATACAGCTGTCTGTAGTAACAAACTGATCTATATCTGTACTGCCCAATATGGAAGTCATTAGTCAACCAATAAATAATTGGAATATGGCTAAAAAAAATACGTTTTCAATATTACCGTCATTGTTATTTGCCATCAAGTTGAGCACAGCTCATATCAACCCTATAAACAACAGATTTGAGTTCTATCCTATACTGTGCCATCCTCATCGTTTCTGGAATGCCCACGTCTATTGCTGAAGTTACTGTGTCAATCCATCTGGTTGAGGGTCTTCCTCTCTTTTACTGACCTTTTCCAAGCATCACGTCTCTCTCCAAGGAATATCCTCTCCTAACAACATGCCCAAAGTATGTAAGTCGAAGCTTTGCCATCTTTGCCTCCAAGGAGCACTCTGGCTGTACTTTCTCCAAGACACATCTCTATTCTTTTGGCTGTTAATAGGATGTTCAAAACTCTTCTGTACAACTCAAACCATCAATTCTTCTTCTGTCATCCTTAGTCATTGTCCAACTTGCAGATGCATAGTAAGTGATTAAAAACATCATAGCCTGAATCAGATACATCCTAGTCTTCAAACTGACGTGATTACTCCTCAATCATTTAGTGAGGTCCTTGACTGCAGGCTTTTCAAATGCAATATCGCTCCTGATCTAAGGCTGTTGATTGTGAAGCCAAGTAAGATGAAATTGTTGACAGTTTGGGAATTTTTTTGTGGAGTTTTTTTCACCCTTTTTTTACAGTTTTAATCTTTTCTCCATCTATCAATGATGTTGCCTATACATGCAGTAGTGAGAATATTTGTTTCCCTTGATGTTGAGGTGTAATCTCTATTGAATCCTATAGTGCTTTTTTTTTCCATCACAACATTGCTTATTATGTGAATTTTTATGATACAAACAAAAAAATTACAGAAATGCAATATATGAATATAGCTAAATGCAGAATGGTGACTTTTTTTTCCTTTAAGAGGCCTTATTCCCACTTGTATCTAGTAAAATAAAGAGACTTCACATAGGTAGAAACAGGTTGGTCATTAGCTTATCAATTTTGCCTAGAAATGATCTATAAATGCACATACACACACACACACACACCCGGCTACTTACCATAGAGTGTAAAAAGGGAGTTAAAGGAAAGTTTCCTCATTGGTTTCTACCATATGAAAGATGCTATATTCTATTTTAACAGGGCCAATATATGGAAAATACCTAAATTAAACATTATTACAAAAAAAAAGCAGTAATGAGAGTCTGGCTAAAGAGGGTACTAAATGAGAATAACACATATTTAAAGAATTAAAAACAAAAATGGTTGTTATAAAAAAGCTCTAGGTACATTGTTAGCATATAGGTTTGTTTTTTTTCCATGTGTATTTTTAAACAATGGAAGTGTCAAAAATACGGTCAGCTGTGTTAGACTAAATTACATTATTGTATATGCTGCACTGAATGCTATAGTTTTTGACCTGCAGCAAGCACTTCAAGTCCTCCTCACTTTCAGCAAGTGAGGTTGTGTCATCTACATGACACTGGTTATTAATTGGTCTTCTCACGATTCTGATCCCACATTCTTCTTTGTAGAGTGCAATTTCTTTAATTATTTGTTCAGCATACAAGTTGAATAGGTATGGAGAGAGGATACAATCCTGACACACGCCTTGCCTGGTTTTAAATCACTTAATGTTCCCTTCATCTAAGCTTGGTTTTGGAAAACAGCCTCCTTGTCTAGGTATGAGTTTTACATGAGCACAGTTAAGTGTTCTGGAATTCCCGGTCTTCACAATGTTAACTAAAGTTTGTTGTGTTTTATTGACTATGCAAAGACACACAGTCAAATACCAGACATTCTTCTGGTATTCTTTGTTTTCAGCCAGGATCCTTCTGACATCAGCAATGATATCCCTGGTGCCACGGCCTCTTCTAAACCCTGCTTGAACTTCTGGTATTTCTTAGTCATGTTACTGTTCTGGTCATTTTTTAATGAGCTTCGGCTATATTTGGCTTGCATGTGATTTTAGTGATATTGTTTGATAGTTTTCATATTCTATTGGATCAAGGATGTATCTCATCCAGTCAGTTGACTAAGTTTTTCAAATTTCCTGGCACAACCTGGTGATCATGTCAATGGTTGCACATGATGGTTAAGACATGTCAACTGGAATCACACTAATTCCTGAGTCCTTATTTTTGCCAATATCTTCAATGTGTCTTGACTTCTTCCTTTATCACCTTAGCTCTTGATCATATGATACTTCCAGAAATATTTCAATGTGAGTCAATTCTTTTTTGACTCTGCATATTCCCTCTGTCTTCTTTTAATGCTTCCTGGATCATTCAACATTTTGCCCATAGAAAATATTTAATGGTATTTGTACTACATTTTAATCACCAACTAGATTTGTGGCTTTCTCTGGTTTTGTAATACTTTCTTGTTTTCTATCAAGTATCTGCAAGTTTGAGACTAGGTATATGTATATTCAGAATTTTACTCAGAGCCACTCAAGTGAGTCTAACATAGTGGCTGCAAGACAGAGTAACAATAAAAAGACATTTCTTTTCACCCTATTAAGGATTAAATTTTTTTTTCTTCTCAAAAAGATATATGGGTTCTTGTGGTCAGGATCTTGTCTGAAAATAAGGAAATATTGTCAGGGAAATTATAAAGTTGTTGTTGTTGTTATGTGCCGTCGAGTCGCTTGCGACTCATAGCGACCCTATGTACAACAGCCCTAAACTCTGCTCTGTCCTGTGCCAATCGCACTGTCTCTGAAACTCCCATCCTGATTATTCCAGTCACTGAATCATTCCACCTCATAGAGGGCCTTCCTCTCCTGTGCTGTCCCTCCACCCTCCCAAGCATGATGTCCTTCTCCAAGGACCAGTCTCTCCTCACAACATGTCCAGAGTATGTTAGATGGAGCCTCAGAATCCTTGCCTCCAAGGAGCCACCCGGTTTAACCCTCTCCAGGACAAATCTGTTTGTTTTCCTAGCAGTCCATCGATGGTATTCTCAATACTCTTCTCCAACACCACAGCTCAAAGGCATCAATTCTCCTTCTATCCTCCTTGGTCTTTGTCCAACCCTCTGATGCATACATAACAAGTGATTGCGAAGATCATGGCCTGTTTCAAATACATCTTAGTCTCCAGAGAGACATCATTGCTCTTCAGTACTTAGGGAAATTATAAAGAGCAGAGACAAATAAATTTAAGACAGAAACAGAATAGAAATAAGACAAGCAGCTTTGAAAGGATCGATAAAATAGACAAATCAGTGATTAAGTTGGAAAAGAAAAACAAAAAAGAAGCAAATAATCCAAATGAAATATAAAATTAGATATAAAAAAACTCAGCTGTGGAAAAGAGGATTATAACAGGAGTGTATGAAAACTTGTATTCCAAAAAAAAATTAAAAGCCTTGTGAAAGTGGACAAATTGCTAGAAACATCATCTATGTATATTAACACACACAGTCAAAACTCATTACCATCTAGTTGGAACTGGGTTCTCAGAGCATGTGTATCAGATGAGAGGAAATTGTCCCTCAGAGCTTTCTCCCTCAGAACGGTCCATGGTTTTGAATTACAAGAGTGTCATCGTCTTTATTAGCATCACAACTCCCTACAAACCATCCCATCAAAGATCCCTCTACTACGGAGGTCAGAAAAATCTAAAGAGATCCATTGTTGTTGTTGTTGTTATGTGCCATCGAGTCGCCTGCGACTCATAGCGACCCTATGTACAACAGCCCTAA